AAGTTAAGCTAAAGCTAAGCTAACGCTAAGCTAAAGCTAAGCTAAAGCTAAGCTAAAGCTAAGCTAAAGCTAAGCTAAATCTAAGCTAAAGCTAAGCTAAAGCTGAGCAACAGCTAAGCTACAGCTAAACTACAGCTAAGCTAAAACTAAGCTAAAGCTAAGCTAACGCTAAGCTAAAGCTAAGCTAAAGCTAAGCTAGAGCTAAGCTACAGCTAAGCTCAAGCTAAGCTAAAGCTAAGCTAAAGCTAAGCTAAACGCTGAGCGAAACGCTGAGCGAAATGCTAAGCTAAAGCTAAGCTACAGCTAAGCTAAAGCTAAGCTAAAGCTAAAGCTAAAGCTAAAGCTAAAGCTAAAGCTAAAGCTAAAGCTAAAGCTAAAGCTAAAGCTAAAGCTCCCAGGGGACTGGGGGGAACCGCTCCCAGGGGACTGGGGGAACCGCCCGGGGCGCTTTGCACTGCCCGGCCCCTTTCAGCTAAGAGAGTAAGAACCCTCTAGGCAGAGCCCAGGTAGGGAATCAGGGGGAATCCTGAGATTTGTGTCTATCTATTTGTGTGGCCCAGGGCCCCTTTAGGTTAGAGGCCGCGCCCCGCGGAGGGAGCCCTCAAGCGCCCCCATCGCAGGACCCCTGGAGCTCGCCCGCCGCGGCGGAGGCCCTGTCGCAGCAGGCGGCCAGCGCCGCCGCACTGCTCAGTGCGGAGGGTTTCTCCGAAGGGCTTAGGCGACCCGTCCTCCTCCTCCTCCTCCTCCTCCTTCTCCTCCTCCTCCTCCTCCTCCTCCTCCTCTCCTCCTCCTCCTCCTCCTCCTCCTCCTCCTCCTCCTCCTCCTGCTCCTCCTCCTCCTCCTCCCTCCTCCTCCTCCTCTCTCCTCCTCCTCCTTCCTCCTCCTCCTCCTCCTCCTCCTCCTCCCCTCCTCCTCCTCCTCCTCCCCTCCTCCTCCTCCTCCTCCCTCTCCCCCCCTCTCCTCCTCCGTCCTCCTCTCCTCCTCCCCTCCTCCTCCTCCCTCACTCCTCCTCCTCCTTCTCCTCGAGGGAAACCAACAGCCCCCTACGTTCCTTCTCCTCCTACTACTCCTCCTCTTCCACTCCTCCTCCCCCTCCCCCTCCTCTTCCTCCCTCTCTCCTCTCCTCCTCCTTCCATCTCCTTCTCCTCCTCCTCCTCCTCCTCCTCCTCCGTCTCCTCCTCCTCCTCCTCCTCCTCCTCCTCCTCCTCCTCCTCCCCCGCCTCGCCCTCCCTTCCTCGGGTCGCCTACGGCCCCAGGGGAAACCGTGCGCCTCCAGCCCCTCGTGCTGCCGCTGCCGCTCGCCGCCCACGTCCTCGCTCGTTCGCCGTGCCCCTCGGCCGCCACCCCAACGTACTTCGGGCAGTGGGTCGACTAGAGAATCGACCTATCCCACAACCCTCAAAAATGTCAAACTTAACCTCAAACATGTCTGACGTCAAGACAAAACCTTGTCAACAATTAACCTCGTCAAAATTAACCTCAAACATGCCTGACGTGGTTGAACTGCTTGTCGGAAGATCCGGGGCCGAGTATCGATGAGTGCGGGGCACTTGCATGCGCCGCCCCTCCAGTGTCGGTCGACGTCAAACTTTCGAGTCAACTTCGGTCAGACTATCTTTGCCCTCGCCCCGACATTGAAGGGGCGGCGTGTCGACATTGAGGGGTGAGGTTAATTTTGACGAGGGTAGCAGGATTGGTTCTCTTTTGCCCCCACGAAGAACTCGCCTGAAGGTTCGCTTGCTTCGCCAGTGCTCCATGCGGTGACGAATGCAAACACACCTGCAGTGGCCCTGGACTCGGGCTCAAACAAACGCTGCGAATGACAGGCGTTGCCAACCACGCTGCTCAAATCCGCTGCCCCTTATGGGGGCTAACAGCACACCACGCGAAGCACACACAAAACAAATATCCCAGGAATGGTTCTCACGTCAAACCTGCGGGAGAAGCGTGGAATGTGCCGCAGATCTACGGCAGAGTCTACGTCGAGACCACTTTTGGGGTAAGTCGATTCTGCAGTCCATCCCCCGCTCGAATACTGATGCTACGTGTGCGTCGCCCCCCCAAGAGGCGACGCGCGCGCCGAGGAATCTTCTAGCATAAGCTCCGTGGCGGGCCCTTCCTGGCCACACCGCTCGGGAGGCGATATACTACGAGATGGCTATACTGTGTGTTCGAGTCGGACGCACGCCTCCAAGGAGGACGCACAGTACCAGTGTATCCTTGTGCGTCGTGCGTCCCGCTCTCCCCCCCCCGACCTCCAGCGCAGAGTGGCAGTCCCGACGGCCCAACTTTCCGACGTCGGGCTTCCCGCGGCCCAGATGAGGCGTTCCCCGAGAAATCCGCGCGGAGAGCCAAGAGTTTGTGTTTATGCCGTTTTTTCTTCCTCCGGAGTGGGCATCTCTTGCGCGTCGGATCTGCGGCTTGGGGGTGGAGGGGGACTCTTCTGGAGGGAGGGGGACTCTTCTGGGGGGAGGGAGGATCTTCGACACTCGAAGAGGTTGGCACGTCCCCCCTCGGCGGAGGCGGGCGGAAAAAGCCAGCAGGGGGCGGCGGAAGCAGAACAACGGAGGCGGGTCCGCCGGCGCAGGTCGGCGGACACGGCCGGCGGCAGGCCGGCGGCCGCACGTCTGTCGCCACCTCCAAGACGCGCTGGCAGTTTTTTCGGGTTCCGGGTTTCTGGGGCGGAGGGGGAGGGGGAGGAGGGGGAGGAGGAGGAGGAGGAGGAGGAGGAGGAGGAGGAGGAGGAGGAGGAGTATCTTGATGCACGATCGTTAAGTCGGGCGTGTCCCCCTACAGGGGGATTTTTGACGAAAAAAAGAAATACCCCCAACATATTCCAAAGATGTTCAAAAGATAGTCCCCAGGCTATTTCTGGATTATTTTTGGATTTTTTTGGGGGTATTTTTTATTTTTCGTCGAAAGTCCCCCTGTAGGGGGACACGCCCGACTTAAACATATCGCCACCTCCAAGACGCGTGGCAGTTTG